ATCAGCCAATAATTAACATGTAAATCTAACGGGATACACACGTACAGAAGGAAGCACACACACACCCACAAATCCACATACTCTTCAGCATGTATCAACAGTAAAACCAGTGCCTGTTTGAGAACCAACATGCCAAAAATCATTCCACCAGTGGTCCATCATTCACAACATGTGTGTGTGTGTGTGTGTGGGCTGGGGGGCAATCTCCCCATGAGGGTCTCATCATGTCCTCCACGCCCCCTTAACACCTCTGGACCTGACAGCATCAAACACCAAGGCATCCATCTTTCTTCCACCTTGACACCTCTGGGATTTAACCCCCCCCCCCCCCCTTTCAATTATTCAGAGGCAGAGCAATTACGGGCTGGAGGCAGAGCCGTCCATAGCCAGTGTAATCCGCGGCAGCTGGGTTGAAAATGACGAAAGCGGCGCCGTGACACTTCTCATTATCACCCAGCACTCTGTGATTACCAGCACGTTGTGAAGAACAAGCACTGGTGTAAGAGACATGTTGAGGGGAAGACTAGGAGAAGAAGAGGTGGAGGAGGAAAAAGAAAAAAGGTTGTGTTTACGGCTCAGACTCTGTCAGCGTGTTGAAGTATGGGAAATGTGTTGCCTAACTTGTAGAGCTACTTTGATACTTATTCTCAGTTTTGTAGTCCTTTACGAAAAGAAGTAGGACTTAAAAACACAGAAAGCAATCCTTGTTAATTAATGTAAGGAGAAATTTGCTAAAACTGAACTTCTCTGGCTGGCAAAGAAGCTATATCAGACGTAGCCACATCAATGCAAGAATGAGAGCAGCCTAACCAGGACGTGCTATGCTAAACTACAAGATGCTACTACATTAGCTTAAGGGATTTTGTTAAAATAGTCAGACTTGAAGACAAACTTTGTTTCTGTTAAATTTGAAGTTTTAGTTTTCAGGAAGTGAAATTTCTGTCTGTGAGATTAAAACCAAGCTAAAGCTAGCCGGTGATTTAAGCCCCAAGGTAGTGGCAGGCCGTTGAAGCCCATTTTACCTGGTGGCCGAACCTGGTACTGCAGTGTCAGGTGCAACAGGCAGAATGTTTTTTTTAAATTTATTCTAATCATGAAGAAGACGAATGAATGCAGAAACATAGCGTTAGCTTAGCCTTGACTCTAACCTTCTGGAATTGCCTAAATTCAACTAGCATAAGATAAATCTGCAACAATAAACAAAACAATCCCTGATAGTCACATCCTGGATAAATCACCTCTTCAGCTCACCGTAAATATGTGAACGTTTAATAGTCAATAAAAAAAAGGATTTAATTGATTAAAATGTCGCTCAATGCAGAATCATAACCGCTGACTCAGATGCCATCTGGGAGCTTGATTTTACAGGTTATTACAACCAAACAGGCCCTCGTCCCCTCGATGATATATGGCTCATTTTTATGTGATCTTATTCATGCTCAGAAATAACAGGCAATTGAGGACTCCTGTGGGACAAAGAAATCAACTTCACTCAAATGAGGTGAAATAAACTGCAGTGTCAGAGGCTGTAATGATTACAGTCCACAAAGATTGATGTGAGCACTGATTCAAAGCCGAACCAAAAAAGACCTGACCAGTAACAACAACAATTCCCCTGAAGAAAGAAAGGGGGGATCTTGCAAAGAACTCTTATTTACAGATGTAGAGAGACAGATATAACTACAAGACCTCAGGATCTGTGGACTCCAGATGCGATCCACCCCCCCCCCCCCCCACAAAATATCTATTCATTCCCTGATACAGGGATGGGGAGGGTAGCAGCGGAGAAACAAGTGATAAGCACCAATGCGGGAGAACAAAAAGCCACTTGATTCTGACGGTAGGAAGACGGAAGGAGGAGGAGAGGAGATGTGCTAGCAGGAGGGATGAGTGAACATCCCACGCTGTGAGGATGAGGAGTCTCACCCTCCTGCCATGTGGAGATAGAGCAGACCTGTCTGCTCGGTTCAGACGCAGACTATAAAACCCTGATGTGCGTCTTTAAAAAGAGATATGAGGACTACGTGTTCTGGCTCTTGACATGTTCCCTGGACTGTCTGCACGAGAAGCCAGGTTTTATGGTGAAAAACCCCAGTTGCCATGGCAAAACGGCGGCCTCACACTTCCGTCTTTCAAAAATTAAAGCCGCTTTATGCTCCCTAAACTTGCATGCTACATTACCAGGTTTACTAACAAGAAAGACAAAACATTTTTTTTTTAGATTCAGAGAAGAAGTGGAGTGATTTGAACAGCAGCGAGTTGGTGGAGCACAACTAAAACTCTAACACACTTGTGAAAAACACAGGGGTTCCCCTAAACCCTTCATACACCAATCATTTTTGCAATGGCGGTGTCTTAAAACACTCCAGAAAACGCTGACAACCACTCCTCCAACCCAAACCATGCGCTAAAAGCAAGCTACTCCTGTTATCGGCAGTGTGCCTCAGCCTAACGTTTGCTGCAGCTGGCAGGCATCTGCTAGCTAGAAGGAGCTGCATTAAGTTCATTTCAGTGTGATGTAAAATTCATCTGCTAATTCAATCATTTCATATAGGGCTGCATTCTTTTTTTTTCTCACAAATATTTGTTAATCCTCAGGTGCTTTTTGTTGCATTTGATTTATTATATCAAACCAAAAGATCTGTGCATGTGTTATAGCCTACCTTTATTAACCTTCATTTCATTTCCAGACTCAAAAGGAGTGAAACAAATGGTTTTTTTGTATTTATATTAATTTCATATTGTTTATTGCATAAATTTTGTTAGCATCTGCTATTAGCAATCCAGACACTCTGTAGTTCAATTCCCTTGCTCTGCTTCTTAGCGGTAGGCTGCCTGGAATGGGAAGCACAGTAATTATGTCACCAAAAAACCCAACCTGACACATTTTTTCACAATCCTCTTTTGCAGGCTCACAGCCCCTGCTGAGCACTTTATAAACCGCACTTTGTTGATTAAGACTGTGTAACCCTGAGTTCTATAGGAATATGAGTCATTCAGTGGGCCATTGGGCACCACACTGAGCCTCATTGTCCTCTGTCCTAAGATGCCTTGTTACACAAATTAGTCTAAGGCCTCTTAAAGAACTTGCTGCCCTCTTGGAAAAAGGAAGTGCAACATCCAGGCTTCACAAGCTGCTGACAAAAGCTCTGCGAGAGGGGGATGCCACTAACAGGTCCTGACAGAGGCACATAGGCCTGCTAGGGTGTCTGAGACCATGGGCTTGAACACCAGGAGGAAAAGGAGGAGGTGATGACATGTTTGGCAGCAATACATTTCATCCTCAGACAGATGTGTTTGACCTGCAGGCCACAGAGGAACGCAAAGGTCAGCTCTGCCAGTGTCGATAGCTGTAAGGGTACGAGTGAAAGGTAAATGGAGATGAGCTCGCTTTTCTCGTCTCAAAGCGCTTTTACACCACACCTACCCAGTCACACCCTGATGGCAGAGGTTGCTATTACAAGTGTCCATCAGTATTAACTAATACACATTCACACGCCGCAGACAAAGCAGTTGGGAGCAACTTTGGGTAAAGTGTCTTGCCCAAGGACACATCGGTGATGTAGCTGCAGGAGCTGGAGCTAAAAATGACTTCGCTATGAAAGAACACAACCCGAAAAGTTCACTTGAAAAGTCCTCTGTTGAAAGCCTTTGAAAAATGGAGATTCTCCACAGCTGACATTTGTGCCGTGATCTGGGTCACACTCTTAATACAGGCTACTGTATTCGCGAATAGTTCCCCGTGTGTGTGTGTACAACTATGTGTAATGTGCGTATGTGTGTGTGATTCTGCAGTGTAAGCACATGCTGTCCTCCATCTGCTGTTTGATAGAGACTGTTTCCTTTCCTGTACAGCCAGCCAACCAGCCAGTCTTCCTGTAGCGCTCCGCTCCACAGAGGAAATGGGAGCCACACACTCCTGACACACACACACACACACACACACACACACACATACACACACACACACAGACACACACACACACACACACACACACACACACAAAACCTGGATAAGATTAGTCCACATGCAGACACATGTGGGCAGACAAAGACTTTTACGCACATTTTAAACACAAACACAGCCTCCTCTCTTTTCTCTTCGCTTCTGTCTTACAATTCTGACTTTGTGTCTCTCTCCTCTGTCCACTGTTTGCTCCTTTTGTCCTGGTTTAACATGGTCGAACACCTCCACAAGTCAGCTGTGTGGGGACTAAAATATTTGAAATGCACAACAATAAAGGGAATTGTTAGGGCAAGGGAAAGCCACAGGCCAAAGGTTTTCGGAGTTATAAAATCTCTAAGCGTTCCATCAAATCAGTGAAATTCCAACAAGCCTTTAAGCCTGGGATGAAAAAACAGGAAAACAACTTGTAAATATACCAAAAAATGTGATGTTTTTGTATGATTTGGCAGCAGTGCCAACTCGATTTATAAGTCTGGTATCAAAGGAAAAGCAAAGCACCTAAGTCTTACTGTATGTTGAAACCAAAAGTTAAAACAATGTGTATATAAAGCCTTCTTTCTGGTCAAGAAATCAAATAATAAATAATATAGCACAGGCACAAACTTGGATGCAGTATGTGTATTTCACAGACACAACCAGATTTACTTCAAACTGTGTAAATTCAAACCATGCTCTTGTAACTTCCAAACAAAACTGCTGATTTTCTGAGTAAGCTTAAGCAGTCATAGGTTAGTGAAGGCTGTTTTCATTACTGTACACTGCACCCTGCTTCCCTCTGTTCTCACTAATGTTTCACACCACTGTCCTGCTTCCTGTTTCTCGATTCTTTTTTTTAAACCAGTTGACACAGAATAATCTACAGCTATGACTCTCCAGAATGAGGAAGTGTCGGCAGAAGTAAGCACAAAAAAACTTTGGCACAAAAAGTCTTTCTCTATCTATGAGGAAAATAAACAGCTGTGAGAAGATTGTGCATCCAAGAGGAAAGATTCCCCAAGACTTCATTACAAAAGCTACTGTCAGCAGAAATTACCTTGATGAGTGTAGATTCAATGTATGCTGATTCTCGGATCCATAATAGCCGGTCACATGGTGCTGTTAAGAGTCCAGTTGTCACATTTTTGCGAGAAGTTGGAAAGAAGTTGGAGACGCAATCCCTAAATCCAGACAGCAAACTCAAAGGGGTCTCAGCGCTTCACTTCCAGGGTCTCAGCAAACAGCAGCCAGGCTGAAGCATTGCAGAGCAGTCACCACCTTCATTTAAAAGGAAAAAAAAAGAGAGAGCAAGACACATTTAGAGCTCGCTGGAGGATGGGGAAGGTGTGATGCAGTTCCTGTCTTGAGCAGAAATGCTGTGTGACAAGAAGAGGGCAGCTTCCCCAAAGGAGGAGGCTGTGAAATAATTAGCTGAGCCTAGAGCATTGTGACACAGCATATATTCCCCTCTATAGGTTACTCTTCATGCATTATGATAACATTTGGCTGTGAAGGAAATTCAGACAAAGTGTGAACACTGTCCTCATTGGTAGTAGTGAACAAAGTCTCAGAATGGCGCCTGGGGGGGGGGGAATGCAGATGGTCAAACATTTTTTTTATGGTGGAGAAGAGACCTTTAAAGTAGTCTTAAAATTTAAACGAGTGCTTTTTAGTTTATCACAGCCCCTGATGAAGAGCCTGGTCGTGTGTTCCTTTATGCACACAGCAAATAAATAAGTATATCTGTGGGAGCCATAGTGTTGCGAGTCTTTGTGCATCATAACGAGTGCTTTAGAGAGGCCTAAAATTCTTACAAATATCCACCAGCTCATGCAAATACATTATGTGCAAGGAATAACAGGGCAAACAGTGCTGTAACGTTATGTGCTAAAAAAATATAACCGAGCAAGCAAATGTGTATTAATGTAATTTGCAATAATTGATCTTGAAAAAATGTACAATACATAGTGAAATACTTTTGAAACCTGTATAGCCAAGAACATGTACACATGGGGGAAGAGTACTGTAGATGTGCTAAATTCAGTACAAATATGAGTACAAACATTTTCTTTATTGCTTCATACAGTGCCTCCTTGTATATCGTGTGTATCTTACATTATGGTGTATACTTGTGTATTTTTGTCTTCATCTTATATTCCATAAAGTTGACTCCAAATGAACAACGCACACAATCCAATGTACCTGTACTGTGCTGTACCTGTGCAAAATGGCAAAAAATATCTATTTTATTCTCTTCTAAAATTTGAATTATTTATTCAAAAACCAGCAGAGAAAATCCCAGTGCACAAAACCAATTTTTTTTTTAAGTTCATCTTCATAGAAATGTGTATTTCAGCTCACATTTAGAGCTGAGTTTTCCACAAGGCCTCCCTGCCAATATATATGTATTTATTTTGATCCCTGAAAGTGTCCTTGGATTTTTTTTTTTCTCTCCTGCTATTTTGGTCTATTTAAATGAGAAATGGTGCTTCATACTTCGCAGAGGCTGTAGTAGAGATTGCAGCTTGGTGCCATCCAATAAATAATACCTTTTACCCTGGGGAGGTCTGAAAGGAGGGTAGAGTGAGGAGAAAAAGGAGGACAAGGAGGACAATTTATCTACCTGAGAACGCTGAGTAGCCAAAGAGTCTGGAGGCAGGATTTTTTTTCTTCTTTCTTTTTAAGTGTGTGTGTTCAGAAACCTTGTACTTTAAACTGAAATACTTAAATCCTCTGATTTTGTTCCAAAAAACATTAAACATTTTCCAAAGCTCAAAAATGATACTCTCACAAGTCTTCTTTTTTCTGCTCTTGCACTTTTTGGAGATACAAGGTTTTCACCTTGCTAGTCGTAGGAAGCATGCCAAGCGGTTGCTATGGTGACACTTTCGTCTAGCCGTGCATGAGGGAGGTATGGAGGGGGGGGGGGGGGATTCTCTCTCTTTTTTCTAACGACAAATGAATGGACCCATCTCCTTGTATCCCTCCCGGTTCTCCCATCTGGAGCTCAATGAAAACAGGCAGGCAACATTTGCTCCCTGACATCCTGGAAAATGAGGTGTCATGCTTGAGGATTTCCATGATAGCTGCATGAGCCTGAGAGTCCACACTCAGGGGGGAAGGACAGATGGGGAGAGACTTTGAAAGAAAAAAAAGGACAATATGTGTAATCCTGTGCGATGAAGTTTTACATTTACACCTACCTTCCTGTGAAAGCACTGCCAGGGAGTGTTTGCAATCATATATCATCTCAAAGCTCATACATAAATAATATGAGGTCTGACAGTGTAGAATCAGATCAAGCAAACTGTTGAATAATAGAAGAACCTGCCTGTAATGCAATCGGCCGCAGAGAGTCATGCTCGAAAAAAACGTCATGCAGCAACATATGAAAGCTGCTGAATGCAAGATTCCATTTATACGTGTCCAGTTACATTTTCTTCTGTGTGTGGAAGAAGAAGCTGTAGTCAGGCTAGAGAAGGTCACTGTCTGTGCCCTCTTACAGGACAGCCAACACCTGCAATGGTACCTTCAGTTCCTCAAATGTCCACTTGAGGCTGGATCCAAAAGTGAGTCAATCCTCATCAGTCTCAATGATAAAATACCAGACTTTACAGCGGAATTAAACATGTTAAAAAAAACATTTTTACGCCTCAATAACACATGTTTCTGTTCATTACAGCTGTACATGGTGCTTTTCAAATGACTCATCTGTTGAACTTTTATTGAGCCTTACAGTTATAAATGAATAGGACGGGGAAACTTTGAGTGACAAGGTGATGGTTCCATCTGTCACCTCAAACTTAACCTCTCTGCCATGTTTGTGTTGTTGGTGAATTTTATACATTTTCATCCCAAATATTGGACACTTTTATAATGTAGCTTATGCTATCTATAAATCAGCACTAAATATAAGGAATCAGTGTCTGGCTTATTAGCTTGTTGAGTGTTTACCTATGTTGTTTAATTTGTTGTCAAGTTTGAGTCAGGATTGTTGTCGCCTTAAACCAACAGAGAGGACAACAGGCTGTCGAGACAACCATCAAGAATATCCTTCAGGATAAATTAAGTTCTATCTTATCTCTTTTATTTGATTTTAATTAGTCCATTGTGTCATTCACTGGAGATTCAGGCGAGCAACCAGCCATTCTGCTGCGATCCACAAGATTTCTTCGTTTCTGTGGTTTGACAAACAGGTGAAGACTTTATAACTTTCATAGCTTGGCATTTCAAATTCCTGGCTACTCTAACATCACCCCTCGCCCCATATAATGTAACTCCTGGTTACAAATACAAACATGGCATCGGCCACGGTCAAACTTGGTCACGGTCAAAGGCACTTAACAAACAAACAGGTTAGCTCAGTGGCTACATCCAATTTTCAGTAAAAAATATGTTTTTTTTACCTTATTAAGTATTTACATATTTAGAGAAAATCCATCTCAACATATTTCAGATCCATTGTTTCCTTATTAAAAGCTTAATTCTTAATCTTTACACACCACCAAAACACATGATTGTGTTCTTTCAGAGTCGATTTAAATGGAAGCAGGAGCACTGTCACCAGCAGTCTTTGAGAACAAAGCAGCCGTTGGTGTCTGTCCACAGCTATCAGCGTTATCACTTTCTAACAGTCGCACACAGATTACCACTGTGCATGTGGTAAATCGGCCAAATCTCACTTGAAAGTCATCAAAAACAGCAGCTTGGTCGTTGGCCAAGCAAAATATGACACTGCAGGGTCATTTTTGGAAACTACCATCTTGCGGTTTCCTGTGATGTGGCGTTAAGAGTCGGGTGAAGTAGTATAAAGAGCACCAAAGATGACTCAGGGTGGCGGTTGGGAGTAATTTCATTGTCCTGCTTGAAAATCAAGATTCATTGTTCAACATCTCTTGAGAAGTCGCATTCTTCTAAGAAAAAACATTAGCTTGTTACCACTTTTTTGGGTGTTTACTTAATTAGCTTATTCTTGAATAGTATTATAAAATCCAAATGTGATGGTTTTGTAACATTACCCACATGTTTAAGGCATGATTAACAAAGCTGTCCCTCAGAACACCACTTACCCTCCTTCCCCTGCGCATCCCTTAGTGTTCTGACAAAGAGCAGCCGTTTCTATGACGATGACGATGATGATGAAAGTTGATTAGGTTCTTGTTTTTTTTAAGCAGTAATTTCTTAAGTTCGGAAAGTTTTTTTGTTCTCCTTTCATTGTAGTCTTGCAATCATCAATTTGAGCCTCTGAGGAAATCATAAACATGCTGAAAGAATCGCTGACGCTATCCCTGCGATATTAATGTTTCAAATGTCACATACCTCTAAAGATTGTAGCACTTAAAAATGTGAAATATTGGTTAAAAATGATTATCCCTTACTTTCTTTACTTCAAAAGCCTATTTGGATTTTGCATATTCATAACAGGAAGTTGACTGCAAAGACACTTGAATGTCCTAAAATGTACTCAATAACAAATCATTTACTGAAAATGTCTTATTTTGATGCTTACGGCGAAACCAAGCTTCAACATCCTCGCGCTGAGCTTCTAAAAATGTTGGTTAAAAACTAAAATATATCTGTGTTACCTGTGCAAGAATCACATAAGATTTGGATTGTAAAATGAAATGGAAGGAACACGGGTAAACTTATCGGAGCTCTTCTTAAAGTTATATGACTTCATGAATGTGCAGAGGCTTGATGGGGAAAATGGCTTTATGGTATTTTTAAACATGGATTAAGTCCATAAAAGCGTCCAATGTCTGAAGTCAGAGCAGAAGTTTTTGGTAGATTAAAAATGGAGAGAAAACGCGAATGTTGCGCAGTCAGTATGAAGTGTAAATTTGCTTCACATTCAAAATGAACAAACACAAACAGTATTTTCACAGCTGGATCATACATACAGGCAGCAAGTAGAGCTGCCAGTGTGTCAGATCTCAGCTGTGTGTGCCTGTGTGTGTGTGTGTGTGTGTGTGTTTGTGTGTGTTAGTAGATTGTGTGTGTGTGTTAGTAGATTTTTTTTGTGTTAGTTTTACACCTGCAGACTCAAACGTACCAAAGTTTCCAAAGTTCTCGTATAGGCGTTACTTTCCTTGACAAGACCGTGAGCTCAGCTGAAGATCATGTAGCCAAGGTGACAAATGCCATCTCAGAGACGGTTGGACACCTCATACATCCCTGTACATACACACACAGAGACACACACTTGGCTCTTTGACTCCTCAGCCTCGCCAGGGTTTTGGTCAATCAGATTACAGCATCATAGCGAGATCTCTCAATGC